GACAGACAGACAGACAGAAACAGAGAGTAAGACATATTATATAACTTCACATACACAGAGCCATACACACACTCCCACACCCACCCAACCCCCCCCCTCCCACACACACACACACACACATACATACACACATACACACACACACACACACACACACACACACACACACACACACACACACACACACACAACCAGACACACATCAACACACAAACAGAACTACAGATAGTAGGTTAAATTCTTAAAAAAGGACATTTTGTAAAAACAAACTTTGCACGTAAGATGATGAACACCATTACTGTCTAACTAACGGAAGCAAAGACAAACGAACAAATAAATTAAAGAAAAAAGAAAAAAAAAACAAAGTAAAAACAAAAACAAACAAACAAGCAAACAGACAAACAAACAAACAAAATAAAATCCCCATGAAAACCCCCTGAATTATCACCCCTTGCTAGCTTGCAAAAAGGCCGGTCCCAGAGTGGCTCTGTAGGTCTGACCTGTAGCTCGCCTTGCTCGCACAGTGCAAATGGATGTATACATTATCGTGTGCCAAAGCAGCGTCGCTCTGTCGTCTGTTTTTTGTCAGCTGAGCTGCGCGATGCGTCAGACGTGCTATTCAACAGTGTTGTAAAAATGGCGGGAATGTGTCGCCTCGCTTCGTGTTTATTTTCGACTGAAACTCTTCGCAGATCATCAAAATCAACAAGAAGTAAGTATTATTAGGTGCTTTACTATTAAATATTGATGCTAGCATCAACACTTGGCCACAAAATCACCCAGGAATGCACTTTATCATACTTTGAAACTTCGAATCGAGAGGCTGACCTAGTTTCGACTATTGTCGTAGGCCTAGGCCTAGGCTTAGATCTAGGTGTGCTTCTCCAGATTCTAGATCTAGATCAAGATCTAGCCTTGCATTACCAATTGGTAAACTATCGCCGCGCGCAACTGCAAGTGTGTTTGTGTGTGTGTGTGGGGGGGGGGGGGGCTGCACTTGGCACATGGCTTAAAGAAGAGTTGTCCCGTCTTGGTATAATTGGTCTTGGATAACACAGTACCTAAATATAGCAAGGCAGACCCATCAGTTGCACACCTTCACACGTCAACACACAGTGCGGCTGTGCTGAGACGCAGCGAGTGTGCCTCGCGCTCGCTGAGACACAGGCGCCAACCCACAGTGCGGCTGTGCTGACACGCACACGGCGTGCGCCAGGCCACCTACAGGTCAGACCTACAGCGCCACTCTAGGACCGGCCTAATGATGTTAGTTATAATCACAGTTCTCTCTGAGACTGAGAGTTTGACAGGGTCAAGGGGACAGGTGGTCGGTCCTTTGACTTTGAGTGTTCGGCAGTGCTACACTCAGAGAGAGAGAGAGAGAGAGAGAGAGAGAGAGAGAGAGAGAGAGAGAGAGAAAGGATTCAGACGGACAGACAGACAGAGACAGACAGACAGAGAGACATGCAAACAGGCAGACAGACAGACAGACAGACAATGGATAGGTGGAAAGGTAGATAGACAGATAGATAGACAGACAAGCTCACACTCACACAATGGTAAATTGCAAAGTAAACCACAACAAGGTAAACGCATTCTGTATTTTCATGCACATAATTTTATTGTACTGAACAAGAGTAATAAAAATACGCATCACTGTAAATTATTTTTTATAAAGCAAGCACGCAAAAAATTGTTATCTTTGTATAACACAGAGCAGTGCAACGGGAATGAACAAGTGTTTGGTTTTCTGCGAATCAGGAAGTAATACACTTTTACTTTTACAGTCAGTGTATCTGTTTTTGCGAGTTCACAATAATATACAAATTGACCTCCATTCATGCACAGGAGTGTCAAAATTTGAACCAGCACCGTATATCTATTTACGATTATCTAAAGTACATGATACAAAAAATACAAAAAAGTAAAGACATTTTGGCAATCACAGTTGATTTGAGTTACAACAGCAGCAGCAGTAACAAGAAAGAACAAGAACAACATGGAAGAGGAACAACAGCATCAATAACGTCTACTGCCATGCCCGTTGTTAACGACCAAGACACATTTCTCCCTGCGAGATGAATAAAGATTGTCATTGTCATTGTCATTGTCATGAAAGCAGTAACAGCAGCAACAGCAGAGGCAGCAGCCTCAACGACAACAACAACAGCAGCAACAACAACAACAACAACAACAGCAACAATAATTGCAAAATCAGCAACAAAAACAACCATAGATTAACAACAAGTGTAAGGAATATAACAAGGCGATGTGTTTGGGATTTATTTCTATTCATAAAATGATGCATTAATGAGACCGACAGCAATACCCTGTTGCACATTGTGAGTCAGTGTGAGTCAGAAGTTAAAATACTCAATTCATCGACGGCTGAGCGCAAGACGTGATTATATCCACTTTTGGTCGAAGTGCAGTAATCGATATGGGTTGTGAGATTTTAAGCAGCTCTTTTACCTCTATCTAAGCTGTAGCTTACTGTGTCGAGATATTAACGTTTCTTTTTTGACCACGTTACAGAGATAGTTGAAATTTCTATCTCGTTTTGCTCGGTACTGTGAAACGTGGATAAAGTCACTTCTTGCGCTCAATCGTCGTCATGACCCAAAATTTTCAGGTTCTCCCACAAACAAATCAGTTGAGAAACTTTTCGGGAATGGACGGAATTTCCTTATATTGAATCAGTCATGTCTGAACTTTTTTCTCAGGAAACGGAATGGATTAGTTTTCCTTTTATATGAACGGAATCAATCACGTCAAAATGTTTTTCTGGGAATGGAATGGGCTGGTTTTCCTTATCTGCCCTGTCGGACATAAACGATACATACATTGTATGGCACATACAAAGATAACCCTAACTGCTTCACATTGGTTGCATTAAACTCCCTGCTAGACTCAACGTTGTTCATTAAGAAGAGAGAACATTTGGTACCCTGTTGGAGACAAATGAAAGGAATGGGAAACATGTGCAAATTCTATAAATCTATAAAATGCAGATATTTTTTACGCCCCCATAGACACAATTTAGACCGTTTAGGGGTAGGTTTCTTTCCCTGTTTGTCAGGGCCAACCTGGGCAGAGAGGGCCTCGATATCCCAGCAGAATTAAGACCGAGATATTTAATAACCATTTTCTCCGCGCCCGGGAATCGAGCCTGGATCTCCTGTATGCGACAGCGAAACGCTTATCCGCTACCCTTTGGACGCCGCTTTTAGATTCTGAACTGATCTTTCTTCTTTCTGATCAAGTTTTATGGCGTTTCGAAAATATTTTCAGAGATCTATCGTTAATGTATATCGTCAATCTACTTCATGCTTCCCAAAGAGGTCTACAGGAAAGATACGCCTGTCGATTTTTAGATAAGATTCAACACCCACCTCCCCGGGGAGGGGTGGGGGGTGGGGGTGGTGGGGGATGGGGAGTGGGACCCTCACGTAAGTAAACAAAACAAACAAAGGAAAATCAGCATGACAAAATAATACGTAAAGCACCATTCGTCAATGGAGATAGATCTACAAGAAATAATGCAGATCAAGTTCGAATTCATTATGCTCAACATGGGACTTTTGACTTTCAACACTTTGTATCCCAGCTAAGGAAGCCAGACCTCTGTTTACATATCACAGTTTGCAACTTGGAAGCAAAAACAAACGTAACAACGGTCACTATAGGCTTTTTTTAAGGAGAAATTATGGTACGATTCCTTATGAATGTACACTAAAATTGTGAGTTCGATTTCCGAGTGGGGAAGTCAAGTAATTCTAAACTATAAGATAATGAATAGCGTTAATTTGCATAGCGCAGATTCTCTCTCAATAGCAAACTAAATACGCTTTACAATCTATATTACTATTTACGAATTATTTCACAAACTATTTTATCGAGTAGATCTATGTCCGTTTTCTTTTGGGATGCTGCATGCGTCGCTCTCAGTTCGGGTGGACCATGACGAGCAAAGCTGAAGGATTCAGCCTTAAATCACTCTTTTAATTAAGTAGATGTGGGGTGTGAAATCATTTGTTTCTGCTGGTCTGTATCATTGTTGAGGTGGGAGGGATAAGATTAATGTTGGTTGAGCACTGGATTACGTTAAATAATGTTTGTATTGTTAAAAAACAAAAAAATCAACCTAACCAAAAAAAAATACAAAAATACAAAACGCGAGTTGTGACGTGCCTAGTGTTGAGAGGTGTGACTTGACGTTTAGTGTAAAGATGCGATCTAATGGGTGGACAACGAAGAAGTGAAGCGCTAAGAGGCAATCAGCTGTATTTTAACTTTTTTTAAAAGTATGTAATTTTAAACCCCTTCAAAATAGTTTATTAGATCATTCAGGAGGAGGACAGCTTCGATCATGTCTGTCATGGCCAACCCAGGCTGAAACTTGATGAAAAGGAGACAACATAACAGCCGAAAGAACGAGGTACACGATTAATATTCTCCCATCACGAGAATCGAACTCGGGTCCTCTGCGTGAGAGGTGAAGCACCTAACTGCTATATTACAGACGCTGGTAAACATCAGATTACACATTGGATGAAGGCACAAGAAGAAAGGCATGATCCTGTAACTCCATTATGGATATATCTGTACAAAAAATACAAAAATTATCTCAAAGAATGCATTTTTCTTTTGAGCACCACTCACATGGGGATGTAAATCCATCAAAAAAATATAAGCAATATATACGTTAAAAAATCATTAATACATACGTGTAAAAGATGCTGCCTCACCAGAAAACGTTTATGCTTTGGGATGATCTGTCACCTAGGTTTACTCCCCCCC